CACACACACACACACACACACACACACACAATGTGCTCTAGTTTATATTTCTTGCTATGATCGACACCACAATCAAAAGCAACTTGAGGGGGAAAGGGTTTAGCTCACTTCCAGATTACATCCAGTCCTTCATTGAGGGAAGTCAAGGAAGTCAAGGCAAGAAAAAGGCAGGAACCTGGAGACGGGAACTGAAGCAGAGACTATGAAGGGGTGGCCGTCAATCATTAATCAAGAAAATGCCCCGAAAGACAAGTCTGCAGGCCACTCTGACGGAGGAAATATCTCAGTTGAGGTTCCCTCTTTTCCCAGGTGACACCAGTTTGTATAAAGTTGGCAAAAACTAACTGGTGCAATCTGGATCTTAATTTTGAAGAAATAAGTTACAACCTTCCATTAACCAGAATACTTCTGAGAAGACGGGATGTACTATTTTCTCTTTTATTCTGTTTTAGTTTTCGAGATTGTATTCATTTTTATTTTATGCATATGAGCGTTTGCCTGAAATGTGTCCATGACTTCCTTGGAGTTGCAGATGGTTGTGAGCTGCTGTGTCGGTGCTGGGAATGAAACTCAGATCCCCCAGCAGAGCAGCTGGTGCTCTTAACTACTGAGCTTTCTCTCCAGCCTACAGTGCTGTTTTGTTGTTGTTTAACACAAAAACAGGAAAAGTAACCCAAACAATATGTTTAAGAAAAAAGAAGAGAAAAAGAAAAAAATGCAAAAAGTAACTGTCTTTCTCTTTTTTTTCTTTCCTTTCCTCACTAGTTTACTGAACTGGATTTAATCTTGAGTACTGTAACAACACCATGATAGTTGGTTTGGGGTGATGCCAGGTGACTGTCAAGAGGTTTGCACATAGAATATGCATACTGGATGAAGGAATGGTTCCCACCAAGGCAGGATGGTGCATGATCTCATTATGTCATAGAGACAGCTCACACTTTACAAAGCGAGTCATTACTTCTAGAATTTTCCCCGTTAATATTTCCTGACCACAACTGGCTATAGGTAACTAAAACTATGAAAGTGGAAGCTAGAAAGCCAAACTATGGGTAAGGTGGACTACTCCAGGTACATCCTTCCTGCCTTTTTTCCCTCCTGAATTCTTGAAAGTCTTTTTTAAAATACTTATTTTTGTCTGTGGGTGTGTGGGTGCACGTGTGTGTGTGTGTGTGTGTGTGTGTGTGTGTGTGTGTGTGTGTGTGTGTGTGTGTGTTCACATACACTTGCTGACAGACTAGAAAAGGTCATTGGATCCCTTGGAGCTGGAAATGCAGGCATTTGTGAGAGGTCTGACACACAAGAGCAGCAATCACTCTTAACTGCTGGGCATCTCTCTAGCACCAGTTTGTATAATTTTACTGTGAGTTTAAAAGCATATTAGGACATTCCCTTAGAGCTTGGCGAAACTTATAAACTCATATGTTGTTCCAACAGATACATGCAATGGATGCTCTCACTTTTTCTTTAAAGATTTCCTTACATGGCCTAAGAATGAAGTACTGTCCTTCAATCCTACTCTCCCACATATGTAGGTATGTTCAGGTGTTCAGGTGAAAGTAGTCAATTATGTATGTATGTATGTATGTATGTATGTATGTATGTATGTATATCTGCCAACATAAGCACTGTAATTAACAGCACTAAAAGCATTTTCGCTGACATCAGGGGCTAGAGAGATGATGGCTCCATGGCTAAAAGCACTTGCTGCTCTTGCAGATGACCAGGGTTTGGCTCTCAGTACCCACATAACAGCTCACAACTGTGTGCAACTCCAGTTCCAGGGGATCAGATGACCTCTTCTGGCCTCTGCAGACACTGCACATACATGGTGCACAGACAGACAGGTAGGCAAAACACCAGGCGTTGGAGGTGCACGCCTTTAATCCCAGCACTTGGGGGGCAGAGGCAGGCAGATCTCTGTGAGTTTGAGGCCAGCCTGGTCTGCAGAGCGAGTGTCAGGATAGGTTCCAAAGCTACACGGAGAAACCCTGTCTCCAAAAACAAGAAAGAAAGAAAGAAAGAAAGAAAGGAAGGAAGGAAGGAAGGAAGGAAGGAAGGAAGGAAGGAAGGAAGAAAGAAAGAAAGGAAGAAAGGAAGAAAGAAAGAAAGAAAGAAAGAAAAGAAAGAAAGAAAGAGTAAGCTGGTGGTGCTGGTACACACCTTTAATGCCAGCACTCAGGGGGCAGAGGCAGGTGGCTCTCTGCATTTGGGCCAGCCTGGTCTACAGAGTGAGTTCCAGGACAGCCAGGACTACACAGAGAAACCCAAAAAGAACAGCCAGGACTACACAGAGGAAGGAAAGGAAGGAAGGAAGGAAGGAAAGGAAGGAAGGAAGGAAGGGAGGAAGGAAGGAAGGAAAGGAAGGTCTTAAAGTACTGGAGGTGACAGACTATATTCTCCATTTTAAAAGAAAACCTAACAACTACCACAGCCATTTTTCAATGACTCCCCAGTGACACATGACATCTGCCCCACCAAATTTCAAGTCTAGATCCTCATCTAGCACATGAGCACTTACTTGATGGTAATCATATTTCTCTCCTTGCCAGGCTGGTAGAATCTTTTCATTTTCATGATGTCTTTAGGAGACTGGAATTGTGCAGAGTTGATGAAGAAGAGGGGCTGAGGGATTTTGGAGTACAGCTCCTCACTCACTGGATACATCCACGGATCCAGAGAGACCCCACATCTGCAGACACGGTTGGTAGCGATGGAGAAGGACCGGTTACAGGCTTGCCAGCTGGGACCTTCCTACCACACAAACTTACCACAAGGATCTCAAGGGAGCTACTGCTGGCTTTGTAACGCTGCTCACCTGGCACTGCACCATTATTTTCTTTAGGAATCATAACATAAGGAAGGCTACTTCCTTAAAAGTTTTCCATATTCATTTTTGTTACAAGGTTTTCAAAATACACTTAAATCAGTTGCAATTTCTCGAGAACCGGAAAATAGCAATTTTTCCTTATTTCTCCTGTGTTTTAACATTGTTTTACTTAAGCTTTGTCTGTTGGGAGAAGGGGGATAGTGTGTAGATTTCCAAAGAAGCCAGCAGATGGCACCAGATCTCTTGGAGCTTGAACTGACTGACTAGTGCATGCTCCTGTCTCTCCAGCCTGTTTCCAAAGTCTCAGGTGCTTCATAGTGTGTCTGTTACACCTATTTCATGGTAACAAGATACCCCAGACACATAAAACTGTATTTAGAGGGTAAACGACATGACACATACCCTGTGAGATCTTTGGGGACTAGAGAGATGGCTCAGTGGTTAAGAGTCTTTACTGTTCTTGCAGAGGAACACACTAAGTGGCTCACAACTCCTGTAACTCTAGCTCTAGGGGATCTGACACCTCTAGCCTCCTTGTGCACCTACGGTCTAACTGTTACACACACACACACACACACACACACACACACACACACACCATTAAAAATAATGAAAAGAAATTAAAAAAAATTTAAAGTCGGATTTTCTTCTTTCCACTAAGTTTAATCCTGTTCCCTAGCCTTTTTGAAAATCCACCCATATGCTAAGTAGATGACAACAGAGACTGCCCTTATATTGAGGGCAAGTGTCTGAAATGGTCCTACCATTCCCTAGATAGTTTGTTCCATGTGAGCCGTTCAAGAAAGAAAATGTTTCTGTATGTTAGAACACTGCGAAGTTGTCTGACTTGGGCCCAAATAACTATGCTTTTAGATCTAGCCTCACCTTAAATAGAAGAGAAAAGAAAAAAATGATAAAATTAAAAAGACCAATGTCTTAAGGAAGTCTGTAAAAATGGTGGCACTAGTATCACAAGCATGTCACAGTAAAGACATAAAGATAAGATTCCAAGTGAACATGTGAAGCCCTTTATAGAGAAATAAGGACAATGGGGGATGGATAAGGGTGGGAAAATTGCTTTTAAAATTAGCTTACCAAGTAGCAGGTTTCTTTACTGGCATGTTCTACATGCTTAGTTTTGGCTGACCCTCCCTCCAGCCATTCTTCTCCATCCCCACTCCCCACTTAAACCTACTTGTCATGTGTTCTATTACGTTCCCCCACTCTCCTTCACAGCCTTCATTTTCAGTACTCATGAGACCCTTTCTAGTTTCTTGGCCTCTAGACACATTCACCCCAATGAAGCTAAGGTCCATATATGAGGGGGCCATGAATATGCAAAGAACTCAAAGCAACTAAACAAGACAAAAACAGCAACCACGAAAGAAAAAGAATGGGCCAAAACGGGCCAGGCCAAGAATTCTTTGAAAGGAAAACAAATGGCTAATTAAGTATTCCTTAGCCATTAGGGAAGTGCAGGTTAAAACTACTTGGAGAGACAACCTCATCCCAGTGAGAATCAGCAAATGCCATCAAGGGCGTGGGGAGATAGGCAGCCTTGTTCACTGTTGGTAGGAGCATGACCTGCTACAGAAACTTTGGAAATGAATGTGGAGGCTTCTCAAGAAGCTAAACGTGGAGCTACCATGTGATCCAGCTGTACTATTCCAGGCATACACCCAAAAGACTGCATATCTTTCTAAGGAGATACCCGTGCATCTGTGTGTATTGCTGCTCTAATATAATGGCAAGCAGGACAAATAAATGGTTTCTGCCTCGGAAAATGTACACAGTTGATGAAGCAAAGAACAATAGTAAAGCTTGAGCTGGAGAAATAGCACATTCGGTGGTTTAAAGCAACTGTTTCTCTGGCTAAGGACATAGGTTCAATTCCCAGGTTCCACATTGCAGCTCACAACTATCTGTAATTGTATTTCCAGGGCATCTGATGCCCTCCTCTGACCCTCTTTTGGAACAAAGCATGCATATGGTGCATACAGGCAAAGCATCTATACATGTAAATGGAACAAATATAAAAAATAGTAAGACTTATACACCAACCCCCAAAAAGCCCTTAATCATTAGAATTTCAGAGACAGTTCTCTCTCCTGTGTTAGCCTGCCCTCTATTCCAGTCATTTTGGTTGTCTTGCTTTGTCTCATTCTCTTACTTGAATCTCTGATCCTCACTAAGGGCCTGGATAACTGTTGCTCCTCCAAAGGAATGTCCAAACACGGCTATTTTATCCTCATCGATAGCGCCCTGGGTGGGAAAAGCAGGCTAGTGAGTTACCATCTTGCCTTGTATTAGAGAAGTACAGTAAATATTGTCTATCATGCAGTCATTATTCATTTCAGATCTGATCAAGTACCTTGATGACATAACATAGAACACACACACACACACACACACACACACACACACACACACAGAGAGAGAGAGAGAGAGAGAGAGAGAGAGAGAGAGAGAGTTTGGAAAAGTCAGAAGCAAGCTAAATATAGTGACACATTTCCAAAATCTAATACTTGAGAAGCAGAGGCAGGAGGATCAGTTCAAGGTCATCTTTGACTAAGCAGAGTAGCCTATTAGAAGCCAGTAGACTGGAGCCAGTTTGGCAATATGAGGCACTGTCTCATACTACACACACACACACACACACACACACACACACACACACGCACGCACGCACGCACGCACGCACGCGCACACACACGAACGCACACTGTTCTGGTCTAATTTTATTTATGTTGTGATAAAATATCCTGGGGTGGGGAGGAAGGCAACTTAGACGAGAAAGGGTTTATTGTAGCTCACAATTCCATGTTTCAGTTCATGACTGTGTGGCAGTCAAGATGGCAGGAATTTAAAACAGATAGTCATATTACATCAACAATCAGGTGCAGAGGGAAATGAATGTATCCATGGTTTATGTTTTACTTCCTCGATAGCTTACTTGTTTGCTTGGGCTCAGGGGGATTTATTTCTCCACTCTTGTTTTGTTTGTTTGCTTTTTTTTTTTTTTTTTTGTTTTTTTTTTTTTTTTTTTTATGAGACACGTTTTCTCTGTGAAACAGTCTTGGCTGTCCTGGAACTCACTTGTAGACCTCAAACTCACAAAGATCCACCTTCCTCTGCCTCCCGAGTGATGGGATTAAAGGCATGTACCACCACCACCCGGTGGATTTCTCCACTCACACAGTTCAGGACTCCCTGCCTAGGGATTAGTGCTGCCCACAGGGGACTTCTCACATCAATTAACTTATGACAGTCCCCTACAAACATACCCACAGGCCAACCCAATGTAGACCATCCCTCACCGAGTCTCTCTTGCTAGGTGATTCTAGATTGGGTCAAGTCGACAATCCTAGCCATTCATCACAAAGTTTATATACCTTGCGATGCAGAAGAAAAACAGCCAAAAAAAAAAGAATAATCCAAAATCACAGTTCACAGGAGAAAGAGTGTTGCTAAATGCTCACCTCCAGCTGCTTCACATCAAAATATGAACCTAGTATGTTCTCTTTCGGGCTTCCATGTCCAATGTCAAGAATTGCACTGAGAGCCTGGGAACATTCTTTTGCTCTTTGTTGCACCTAAAACAATAATTAGAAGCAAATGATAATACAAAATATTGTAACACCTTAACGTTTTTGTAAGGTTGCCTGTGGGAGATCAGTTAGTTTACACACTGAAAACACCTCAGTAAAAAAACGACAGGAATACAAGCTAACACTCTGATGGGGTGCTGGCTTCAGCTAGGCTCAACTCACCTCTTGCTTGCCTGATGTGTGGCTTGTTTGGGTTTCTATTTATTGCATACTAATGGTGGAGCCACGTGAACAAAGTCTATCCATCCCAGAGAGGATGCCAATAGACCAAAGAGACAATTCCACCAAGTCCCACACCTAGCTTGGTGAACTGGTAAGTTGATTAGGGTCACTTGCAAGTACATGTGTGGTGACTCACAGAAGCTATCACCCCTGGGCAGGAGAACAGTCGGCTGCTTCCTACCTGTACAACCTTGGTGAGGGACTTTGCCAATCTTGTAGCTTTCTGAGCTTCCTGGAAAGGGAGATTCCATAGTGATATAGTCTACTTCAACAAAATGTGTGTGGAGGGGGGTCTAAATAGCATGGCACATCTAACACACCCAAGATAAAGAAGCAGCCAGTGTACTTTATCTCAAGTAATTATTCCAATGACCACAAGAGACAGATATTGTCATTCACTATTTTGTAACACATCAAAGCACAAAGTTTACTTGGTCGGGATCTTTCCACTGCCAAGAGATGGGGCTAGCATTCAAAGATAGGTGGATTTTAAGGCCTGTACATTTCTTTTATGTGTGTGTGGGGGTAGTGGGACAGGTCTCATTATGTAGCTTTGGATGACTTGGAACTTACTATGTAGACCAAGCTCGTCTCAAACTCACAGAAGTCTGCCTCCTTCTACCTGCTGAGTTCAGGGCAAGGCCTATACATTTAGACTATTGTATACAACCTCTCTAAAACCTTTCTAATGATGCAGCTGGGGTTGAAGATCTAATCTTTTTTTAAATATCGATTTTGAGGTTTAAAAAAAACACTATATACTTTAACAGAAGAGAATTCTGAATGCCATCGTCATTTCCTAGAGTAATTTTGTTTGTTTTTCTGTGAAATAGACATTTCAATAAAAGGAGTTTTCTCCATTGGAGAGCCTTCTGACAGACCCTTAGGTAAGGGGGAGGACTGGTAGTTAACATTAATGAATATCTTCATTGTGCTTTGAAGACCTCAGCACCTCTACTCTCACTGAAACGTACCTGCTGTTTCCGAACTTTCTCTTCCTCCTCTTGTTTTAGCATTTTCAGGTACAACCAAGTCCTGTTTTCTACTTTTGCAGCCACCTGGTCCTCAAAATAGTAGGTTGCTGATGCAGATCCGTCTCTACAACACACCCAGATTTAATTACCTTCCATTTGTCTGACTGTCTTCCCCAGCTCCATCCTTGTCCAATTCTCCTCTCATCTGTTGACTTCCCTTTCCTCTTCTGGTCTGCTTTTTCCTTCCACAAATAAAAAAGGACTCCAAGGGAGTGCTTGGACAAGGATCTAACTGTCCATTGTCTAGGGACATGCAAATAACCTCTCCGTTATCACAATCCTAGAAGGCAACATTGGGACCATGTTGAAAAGCCACTCTCATGAGCTGGGGGCACAGCTCAGTGGTAAAGTGTTTGCCTGATACACACAATGTCCTGTCTCCAACCCCTGTACTGCAAAAAATAATACAACACAACACAAAACTCTAAAATCCAATTCCAGAATTGTCACCTAATAGCTTTAGGTACTTTGGGTAAATTCCCTGTAGTACCTCCATTTCTGTCTTGTGTCAAATGAATAAAACAACCATCACATAGGATTGTTCCAAGCTCTGAAGGACTGAGATAGTGTCTGAAATGCTGCAGTTTATCCCATGACAGACCTTCATTGTTCTCAGGGCATGGAACTCTTTTGAAAGTCTTGACAGCGTAGTTCATTCTCTTTTTGTTCTCATTATGTAAAATTTTCTAAGCTTACAGAACACTTATAGGCAGAGTTAAGGATGTTAACACGGTTTTTGTTTTGTTTTTGTATTTGACATATGCAGGAACATACCTGTGCTCTACAGTAGCAACTATGAACCCATAAGATGCCAGGCCAATGCCAATAGCTGAGTAAATTGTTCTGGAAAACAAAAGGCAGTAGCATTGCAATTACTAACCATGATTACAAATCTGAGTTCACTAGAAGAAACCATTCTGAGTAAGGTAACCCAATCACAAAAAGACAAACATGATATGTGCTCACTCATATGTGGATTTTAGACATAGAGTAAAGGATTACCAGCCTACAATCCACACTGCCAGAGACGCTAGTAAACAAGGAGGACCCTAAGAGAGACATACATGGTCCCCTGGAAAAGGGGAAAGGGTCAAGATCCCCTGAGCAAATTGAGAGCACGGGAAGAGGGGGGAGGGAGCTACGAGAATAAGAAGGGAAGAAGAGGAAGGATACAGAGGTCATGAGGGAGCAGAAAGGTTGAGTCAGGGGAAGAGTAGAAGAAAGGGTATGTGTTAGGTAGGGTTTTAGTTAGGGGGTGGTAGGGGAGTAAGGGAGGGAGAAGGGAACTGGGATTGTCATGTAAATCAATCTTGTTTCTAATTCAAATAAAAAATGATAAAAATAATAAAAAAATCAAATCTGAATTCACTAAGAAAATGAGGAACATGGAGCCCATTAACCCTGCATCAGCACACTGTGCAGCTCTGGTCCTCAAAGAACTTACCCCTTAGGAGGTGTGTGGCAATGTCTGGAGGTGTATTGTTTCCTCTGGGGAAAGGAGGTTACTGGCATCTAGTGAGCAGAGGGACACTGCTAGGCATCCTACAGTACATAGCATAGGGTCTCCAAAACAAGCAATTATTTGGTCAAAAATGTCAGGAATTATGAATTTACAAAGCTCAGAGTAATGTTCCAGTTATTACAAATAATTACTTTTAGAGTTGATACATATCCATTCCACAACACACACAGATTTAATTATTCTCTTTCATTCCTTACCCGACCATCTTCTTCAGCTCTATCCTTGACTCAACTTTCCTCTTATCTGTTGACTTCCCTTTCCTCTTAAGAAGTGCTCAGGAAAGTATCTGATTGTCCATTGTCCAGTGACATGCAAAAATACTTCATTGTCAAAGACAAATGTGGGGCCATATGGAGAAGCCATTCTCATGAGCTAGGGACACAGCTCAGTGGTAAAGTGATCTGAACTTAAGCTTGAAGTTAATAAGTCTTTGTCATTTATTAGCTATCTGATACTTAGATAGTCAATTTTGTAATCACTTATGAAATAGAGCTAAGAACACAGGCTTACATTTAGGGTAGGGGAGGTAAGGTTTTCTTTTTTTAAAGACTTAAAAATTTTTAATATTTATGTCTGGAGATCTACAAAGATGATATCAACTAACAATCTAAGCAACAGAGGAGAGGCTACCTTAAATACCCTCCCCTGATAATGAGATTGAAGACTGACTTATATACCATCCTATAGCCTTCATCCAGCAGCTGGTGGAAGTAGAAGCAGACACCCACAGCTAAACACTGAACTGAACTGGAATCCAGTTGCAGAGAAGGAGGAGTGATGAGCAAAGGGGTCCAAACCAGGCTGATGAAACCCACAGAAACAGCTGACCTGAACAAGGGAGAGCTCTTGGTCCCCAGACTGATAGCTGGGAAACCAGCATAGGACTGATCCAGATCCCCATAAACATGGGTGTCAGTGAGGAGGCCTCGGAAATCTATGGGGCCTCTTGTAGTAGATCTGTGCTTATCCCTAGCATAGGAATGGACTTTGGGAGCTCATTCCATGTAGAGTGATATTCCCTGAGCCTAGACACCCCCCATCCTGGGGGTGGTCCTAGGTCCTATCCCAAAGGATATGACAGACAGACTCTGAAGACCCCCTGTGGAAGGCCTCACCCTCCCTGGGAAGCAGAAATGGTATGGGATAGATAGGGTGTTAGTTGGGGAGGGGGCAGGGGATGAGGGGAGGGAGAGGGAACTGGGATTGACACGTAAAATAATCTTGATTCTAATTCAAATAAAAAATGGAGGAAAAAAATTATGTGTATACAGGTGTACGTGGAGAACAGAAGAGGGCACTGTACCCAATGTATCCATTGTGTCATAGGTAGTTGAGAGCAGCTTCCTGACATGGGCACTGAGATAAGAGCTTGGGTTCTTTGCAAGAGTCCTAAGTGCTTTTATAACTATAGAACCTTCTCCACAGACCAGAAGCTTTTGACCAGGTAATACACATAGGGTAATACATAGGACCGTAGCTCAGATCCCAACACCTCCTAGCTGCTTGTCCTGCTTCAGGCCCTGAGCCTTCTTCTCAGCTGTGACTCTATGTCTGTGAAAGCTGGCCATCACCAAGGTCAAGTGAGCGCATGTACTTAAAGCAGTGCAAGTACTTTACACCGTTAGTGTTCCAGAAATGATCAAACTGTGAGAAGACAGTAAATAACTGTCAACAGTCACATTGGCACTCTTCCACATGTCTATTTTGTAGGATCTCTTTCTCATGTTACACATTCTGTAGTCAATGTCCATGGAAATACAAAGGGGTGCCTAGGAACTGTGTTTTCCACTGCTGACAACACAGGAAGGGATGTGGTCTACCATGTAGACTTGAAGCCTTGCCTACTGCAGGTCAGAGTAGCTACTTGCAGCTTTGTGAGAAAGACATCTCAACTCTGCTGTAGCAGTCATGGACAATGTGAAAGGTGAATGCATGGAGCTCTGCTCCAAGACAGCTTTTATATAGATGGCTGGCTATATAGATCTTCTTCTTGAATTCCCATTTGCCAATCACTACTGCAGCCAAAATCAAATAGTTTTCTAGACTATGACTACAGTGCTGAAGACAGATACTGCTCAACTTTCTTCCAGTCCCACAGTCAGTTCTTAGGGGACCCCAAGTGTTTAGCATGGGCCAACATTACACTTTGAAATCTGATTTTTTTTTTCAAGAAATAGAATTGTTCAGGGATGGCTTGGTACTAAAGCTGTCTGGTCTCCCAAGCATTACCTGAAGGCTCCAAGTCCATGAGAAAAGATAACTAGCGGATATTTTTCACCAGTCCTGAGAGGAGAATTCCAGCTTGCAGGCGTTGTCATTGAACCTAGATAATAGTAGGAAGTAAATCAATGTTTCCTCTGGTTGAATGATGCTAGCTAATAAATTTACACCTTCTGGGCACAAACCCCCAACCCATGCTGTCTTAACTACTATTTTATAAGTTAGTACACTGATTTTAAAAGCCAAATACTAAATACTCACCAACCAGGGACTCCAATGTGTCTTCCTCCGTGAGTCCATCAATTAATGGTGAGTGCCCACTGCCACTGACCTCACAGGGAACGATTTTCCTACTTACAGGTATATTCTGGAAGGACGCTAATTGTTTCTATTTTGAGGTTGGGAGATAATGCTGAACATATAGTTTAAAACTAACCTTCCGGGAAATCTTAGATCATTGTGCTGATAGCCAAGACCTAAGAACCAGAGATGACTACTGTCAGGAGGCATCACAGTCCAGCAAAGGATGGAGAGACAGTGAATTCACATACCAGAGGGGACTTTTCATGTGACTGCCACCAACTAGTTATTGACCTTGGGCAGGTCCTTGGCAAAATGGTGGAAGTGATTATGATCTTAAACATTTTGAATAAAATTTGTATCTAACCAGGTTTTATATATAAGGTATCCATTTTTATGTATAAAGTACTGTAAAAAGCCCAAAGTTGGAAAATATCACCTCCCTTCCTTAGCTGTTTTCATCATTACTGTCATGGTCATTTCAATGTTATTTTCTTATCAGAAACAAATATGTGGTCATGAAGACTGAATGTGGCAGTTGCTATGGAAGTGCCTTGTAAGTTACCCCTTGCTATGCAGTAGTATATTCTAGTTTAGGGTATTTTCCTACTTTAAAACAATTTCTGTGAAAACCTAAAGATAGGCTTAAAGAGAATTCCCAAAGCTGAAAAATTAGAAGGCTAAATTTGAAGGTATAATTAACATAGGCTCAAATTTACACCCGATCTAACAAATGTTAGGAACTTCTGTCTCCCTTGGTATAATGCAGACATATTAAGTGATGACTGCCTCAGACTGTTGGACAGAAGTGGGTCCTTTGGGGGTGAGGGACAGGCATGAACTGAGATATTTTATGATGACTGGGACGTTAGCTGGACTTGGCTGCTATTTTTCTATTTTCTTCTGACACAAAATGTACAGGTAATGGTCCCACCAGACAATTTGCTACTCTGGCCACATTGTAGCTTCCACCACAGGAATTTAAGAAGGAAAACTGAGGATCAGGCCTAAGAAGATGTTAAGGCAAATATGGCATCCCCAACCCATCCCATCCCATCCCAATCAGAATGCTTAAAATGATAGATACCTTGCTTCTCTCAATGTTGCCTAATCCCTTAAGACAGCCTTTCTTTCTGTATAGGAAGATCACCCAGCTGATAAAGTGTCTGCCTTGCATATGGTGGTACAAAAATACCAGACACAGCTATAATCATGCCAGCCTAGCCTAACTTGTGATCCCCAGACTACAGAGGTCTCCTGTCTCAGAGAGGTGGACTGTGTTTCAGAGATAATACTTCAAGTTGTCCTCTGTCCTTCACTGAACAAATACTCATGTGCAGACGAACACACACACAACACACACACACACACACACACACACACACAGAGTTAAAAAAAAAAAAAGAAATCTCATCCTTGCCATCTTAGGAGAAAATCAACCTCAGTCTCACTACTTGTAACTTTTGTATCTTATATACATATACACATACACATATACATATATACACATACACATACATACACATATATCTTCAGAACAGGACCAATAGAAATCTTACCATATAAGAAGCTCAAAATGTTGCCTATAAATTGGGGTGTTCCGAGAAATTTACTAAGACCAAAAAAATATTCTTTGTTTGGGATCCAAACTGTGTCAAGGCGATCTGGATCTTGAGCTGGGTAATACAATCTCAAGAAGACACTCTGGAGGGAAAAGAGAGGCACAAACTCTCAGTCAAACACAGTCCAAGAACAGTGCTTTGAAACTCTGTATTACTAGGTCCCAAATCTCTGTCTTCCCTTAAGACCCCCCAGAAAAGTGTTCAAGCTGCCAATCCTTAAAGTGTAGCACAAAAAATAAACAACCCAGTGACTGATATTGAGGTTCAAATTTCAAGCTGAAAATCAGAAAAGCAAAGCATCTGGTCACTAGCTCTTACTCAGACTGAAAGGCAATCCTGGCTCCACCAAACCTCAGACTATTGCTTCTCCTCAGCATGGCTAGAGAGTCCTGAGACTTCAATGTCTTCCCTATCCTCAATGTGGCTGGAGAATGAATGCCTGATATTGACTACTGAAGATCCTGCTCTAGTGCTGGGATTAAAGGCATATGATCCCAGGTGCTGAGATTATCTTTGTGTGAGCTGTTTCTCTTTAGGACTGGATCAATCTTGTGTAGATCTGGGTGGCCTTGAACTCACAGAGATCTGTCATCTCCTAATCCTGAGTCCTAGGATTAAAGGTGTGTACCACCACCTCCCAGCTTCTGGCTGCTGGGATTAAAGGTGTGTATCACCACTGCCTGACCTCTATAGCTTGAGGCTGACTTTGCTTTCTGAATCCTCAGGGGAGCTTTAATAAGTCATAAATAATATATCACTATATTGAAGATAACCACAAAAGAAGAGAAAAGAATAACCATGCTTTGACTAGAAGAAAAATCTGAGCACAATTAAGATTCACCAGTAAATTAACCAGGAGACAATAAACAACTGAAGAATGACATAAGTAGCAAAAAGTGTTGCAACAGGAACAGCCTATTAGTCATCTTCAGGTGATTGCCGGATCAAGTAATCGCCTGTGCTGGAAAGCAAGGGCAAGTCCTTAGGACTTAAGGTTGAGGCAAACAAAGTAAGGCATTACCTCATTAGCATAACCGAACATCAGGTCTGTACAACCGACTGGGTAGGATCCATTTCCTTTGGGGATTTTACTATGGCCAGACCTGGCAGTAGACATCACAGCTTGTATCTTATGGAACCATGCTGAAAAATAGGTTCGTGTAAGGTAAACACATGACAGTAACCCAATCCACCTCAGACTTTACTGTGCTAGGAGTTCTGTGCTCACAGTTTCTGGCTCTCTCTCTCTCTCTCTCTCTCTCTCTCTCTCTCTCTCTCTCTCTCTCTCTCTCTCTCTCTCTCTCTCTCTGTGTGTGTATGTGTGTGTGTGTGTGTCTGTCTGTCTGTCTGTCTATCTCTCTGTGTGTGTCTCTGTCTCTGTCTCTGTCTCTGTCTTTCTCTCTCTGTGTGTCTGTCTCTGTCTCTCTCTCTGTGTGTAGACAAGGTTTCTCTGTGTATCCATGACTGTCCTGAAACTCACTCTATAGACCAAGCTGGCCTCAAACTCACAGTGCTGGGATTAAAGGCATGCTCCACTATGCCCCGAACATGTACACTTCTGTACATCTGGACCTGACATCTTTCCATAGCAATATCAAAGTCCATGGCCCAAGATGAGACTAAATGACCATCTCCCAATTTTCCTTTTCTGCCTCTGCAACTGCCCAGCTCCACTGAACCCCAGAATTCTCTATCTTGTGAATTCCAGGCCAGAATCCTGCAAGTCAAACAAATCTTTACGAAATCTCTATGATTTGTTCTTAATTTAGAATTATCCCTGATCCCAGACACAATCATTTCTTTTTCAGGATCAAGAATTCCTTATGTGTGGATATTATATGATGGCAAGAATGAGGACAGCGACCCAAACTAGCTACTGTTCCAGCCCCACTCACTAGTCTAAATATAGCCTCTGGCTAACGAGGTTCAATGCAGTTTTGTGGGAAGGTGGGGAACTAAGGATAAACACCACCGACCTCTTTTGTCCTTCATTCAAATCCATCATACACGCTCTTTGACCCACCCACTCTTGAATCTCCTTTTCTCTCTGCAGCCCAAACACTTCTATATACCTGCAACTGCCCTCCTTTCTAAACCATAATCAAATTCATGCTTTATTTCTAGATGTGGGTCCATGGACTGGAGAGATGGCTCAGAGGTTAAGAGGCACTGTCTGCTCTTCCAGAGGTTCTCAGTTCAATTCCCAGTACCCACATCGTGGCTCACAACCATCTATATAATAGGATCTGATAGCCTCTTCTGGCATACAGGTATAAATGCAGAATACTCATACATCAAATATAATGAAATTAAAAAAATAGATGTTGTGTCCAAATAACAACAAATCCAGACTCCTATTTTTCTTTATACACCGAGCCTGCCCCAACATCTATGTTACTGAACTGTGAGGAGCTGGTTCCTCTGCCGCATGCTGTGTTTGTACTGCACGGGCTCTGCCAAACACACAGAGCTATGTGCAGTGTGGCACCGCCTTGTTATACTGCAGCATTGCTCAGCAAGGCTTTGAGTCTTGGCAGTAATCTTACGCACACCCTCGACTGATGACTCATATGTGAGGCACCAGCCAGTGATGGAGGCTTCAATACACAAGGCCTCCTACACAAAGGTGATCCTCAGGCCAGCATCATGGGCATCACCCAGAGCTTAGACATGCAGATCCCAGTCCTCACTCCAATTCAACTGAGTCAAAAAGATGCAAAGAAGACTGACTTAAAAGAAATGCCATGTCACAGTCCAGATCTCTTGGCAGGCTGCACTGATACAGCAATGATAGGAGGCAATTTCAAGAAAGACAGAGGGTAGAGTGAAGCTCAGTATTGGATCCAAGTGGTCCTGTTTCCCATACCAACTATGGTGCTCTAGCCAAAGCAATTGAACTCTTCTCTCTGGTGCCCATTGGTAAAGTGGGAGGGAGACAAAGGCCCTTAACCAGCCCCAGGACAGCTGTGTGGATGAAAGGAGTATATTCAACATGTGCCTAACACTGACTGTGGCTTGTTACTGGAGCTCAGATGCTGTGACTTCTTCCCTTCTGTGTGGGCACAGCTGGTTACTCCCATGGTTCAAAGGATGGGGAGGCTGGGACGGGTTTAGTACATCTACACTAGGCTTTCCACTCTCTCTCAGGACACATTCAAAATTCAGGGCATTTACCTGAAGACTTTTTTTATTTTTTACCTCCTTATTGGTGAACATTCTGGGGCTTCTTTAGAATTACAAAAGGTTCTTCCTCTCCCATGTCAGGTTATCTGTAAAGTCAGGCTTTTAAATGGTAGGTGACAAGTCTAGAGTCATAGGGTAAGAGACGCCTTCTGCCTTTCTTCCTGTGATAAACAGTCACAGGAAGAAAGTGTGCTGCTGTGTCCCTACCCATAAGCAGCCATGGTGGGGGCTAGACCAGTGGGGAGACCACTGGCTCCCACAGCTCAGTGAGGTGCCCCAGAGGACTCTTCGGTGCTTTGGAGACGCTACCTAGCAACAGAGTTCCACGGCCTACAACTGAGATCTTGATTTCACTGAAACCATGGAAACCTCTTCAAATAACCTGTGGTTCTTGAAAACCATTTATCCTCTAGGCTCCTCACCTGGAATCTAGGAGTCCCAGGTACTACACTGAGTATAGAAAAGAGTGAGTGCCTTACATCCTGCACATCACAGGAGCCTGCATCTCCATCTCTCCATCTATTTGACATCATCACAAGGAAGAGGAGGAGACACCAGAACAACCTCATCTTGGATGCTATAGCTTGTGGACAGAGTTTATCTTTTCCCAATCCTCTCCAACTTTATTTGAATAGGAACTCTGGACCTCTAGAATGCCTCTTGGTATATATTTTTCATAGTCGAATATTCCTGAGTCTTGAGATGTATCCATTCTAGAAAAGCTGCATTCGCCTTTATACTTTCATTGTCCTTCATCAGGACAGCACATGCCTGTAATACCAGTGCTTGCAAAGAGAGCAGGATAAATAATTCAAGGCCAACATTCGCTACATAGTGAGTCAGGGCTCAGACTGGGCTACATAAAGCTGTCTCAAACAGCCCAAAGAAGGGCCTGGGGAGACGATTTAATGTGTAAGAGTGCCTGTTGCACAAGCAGGACCACCTGGGTTTAAATCTGCAGCACCCCATAAAAATTAGGCATGGCTTCTGGGATCTGAAACCCCAGTCCTGTGGTAGGTAGGAATAGGAGGATCTCGGGGCTTGCTGGCTGGCAGTCTAGATTCAGGTTCAGTGTGAGGCCCTGACTCAAGGGAATAAGGTGGAAAGTGATAGGACAGGACACTGGACATTTTCCTCTGGCTTCTGCCTGTGTATACAGGTGTGGACATTTACAGACACACAACACACGCACTTATAAACACTTGCACACATAAATCAGAACCCGAATAGCTAGATCTTCTATGTATTCCTTTAACATGAAATTAACCATCTATTGTTTTAATCTATTAATTACAATTTAAAAGTATTCAGGAGTCTATTTCTGAGCATGTACAATGAGTATGGCATTGGGCTAACACAGGTCCCAGGAAGATGAATAATAACCCTGTCTTCAAGGAACAGATTTCTAGTGATTTTAAGAGGATAGAAAAATAAAAGTCTTTAAATTCTCACCCTGAACCAATTAGAGTAAATGCCATAAAATGTATGATAGTTTACCTATCAAGTGACATGTTTCCAATCCCAGAAACTGACACTTGGATTAACTTCATTTTAAGTAGATCACAGGTTCCGTGATGACAAGCCCTTTAGTCATAGCTGTATACACAGTGCCTTCACTTCCTGGGAAGTGTTGAGGGATGAATGAGCCTCTGAGTTATTACTCAATTACCTGTGCAAATACCAATATAAGGCACAGTCCTTTTCTTATTGATTCACTCATTTCCCCAATTACTGAGTAGGGCAAAGTTTATTTGGATAACATGGAGTTATGCAAGCCCTTTTGTAGATGCCGTGGAGTTGTCCAACCAGCCCAAACAACTACATCCAGAGTGAGGACATGCATTCAGGTATAGAGATCTGTGGGTGTAGACAGTGTGACATCATTCTCTAGCCACCTCCTGCTGTGCTCTCCACAGGACACAGATTGAGGCACATCTATGTCACAGTTCTTTAAGATAAACAGGCATTCACGAAGCTCCAGAAGCAATGTCCTTGCAAGATAGGTCCTTCTTGGGGTGGTGACATGAGATGTATCTGTCCCCTTGCTACTCTTCCTCGTATGGTCCAAACCTTCCTCCTCTTTCCCCCTCTCCTTCACACAACTGAGGAGAGAAAGTGACCGTGTCTATTCACTGGAGTTTCAGACATCTACACGTCTCCACTTCTCCTCATACTTAGAAATAACCATGTCCTTTGGACCCCAGGAGTTCAGAATGTTGTTTTTTTCAAACACCTCTCCACTTCCTCAGGCCTAAGCTTGTTTGTCAAGACACAGGCAGGGTTGGAGACTGCCTTGGAAATGCCAAGGTAAGTGTGCTCCTGTACCTGGCAGGAGTTGAATAGGGGCAGTGAATGAGAGGAGGAGAGGTGTTTGGGGTATTTTCCATGCTCATAGCAAGCTGACGAGAAAACACATGCTTATTCAGTTTGGGTCATAAAGAGTGAGGCCTTCCAACCCCAAAATGAGTATTTCCCTGAATATATTCTCATGACTCGTGTGTGTGTGTGTGTGTGTGTGTGTGTGTGTGTGTGTCTGTGTGTGTATGTGTGTGTGTATGTGTGTGTGTGTATGTGTGTGTGTGTCTGGGTGTGTGTGTCTGTGTGTGTATGTGTGTGTGTATGTGTGTGTGTGTATGTGTGTGTGTGTCTGGGTGTGTGTGTCTGTGTGTGTATGTGTGTGTGTATGTGTGTGTGTGTATGTGTGTGTGTGTCTGGGTGTGTGTGTCTGTGTGTGTATGTGTGTGTGTATGTGTGTGTGTGTATGTGTGTGTGTGTCTGGGTGTGTGTGTCTGTGTGTGTATGTGTGTGTGTATGTGTGTGTGTGTATGTGTGTGTGTGTCTGGGTGTGTGTGTCTGTGTGTGTATGTGTGTGTGTATGTGTGTGTGTGTATGTGTGTGTGTGTCTGGGTGTGTGTGTCTGTGTGTGTATGTGTGTGTGTATGTGTGTGTGTGTATGTGTGTGTGTGTCTGGGTGTGTGTGTCTGTGTGTGTATGTGTGTGTGTATGTGTGTGTGTGTATGTGTGTGTGTGTCTGGGTGTGTGTGTCTGTGTGTGTATGTGTGTGTGTATGTGTGTGTGTGTATGTGTGTGTGTGTCTGGGTGTGTGTGTCTGTGTGTGTATGTGTGTGTGTATGTGTGTGTGTGTATGTGTGTGTGTGTCTGGGTGTGTGTGTCTGTGTGTGTATGTGTGTGTGTATGTGTGTGTGTGTATGTGTGTGTGCGTGCGTGTGTGTGCGTGCGTGTGTGTGCGTGCGTGTGTGCGTGCGTGTGTGGTAAGCATGTTCAGGTGTACATGCATATGTGTGTCCATGATTATAGAAGCCAGAGGTCATGAACAGTGTCTGCTATGACCACCCTCCATCTGTGCTTTTTTGAGGTAGGATCTCTCACTGAACCTAAAGCTCATCAAGTTATCTAGGATGGTTTGCCAGTGAGTTTCAGGGATCCTCCTGTCTCTGCCCACCCCCACCCCCCACAATAGTGACAACTTCTTACATCAGTGTTGGGATCCAAGCTCAGGTCCTGAAGCTTGTGCAGCAGGCACTTCCTCACCTGGGCCATCTCGCCAGCCCCTGAATGAACACTTCTTAAAATCACTTGTTCACACATCAACACACGCAGCATCCTTACCTGACGACTTGAAGTCAAAAGGTGGGGGGTCTTGCCAGTGAAAAGGAAGGACCAGTGGGAGGCAGCCAAAGAGGCAGAAAAGTACATGCAGTTTGCGTGGAGCCATCTTGGGAGCTGAGCAGCGACTTCAATGTTCAATGTTCAATGTTCTTCAGAGCAGACAATGAAAAGAAAAGAAAAGAAAAGAAAAACCATGCAATGAATGTACCGAAGAGGATTTAAGTGGCTGCCAATCAGTGAGGTCCCAGCAATGGTGGTTAGCAATGAAACATACGGGTTTTTTGTTTGTTTGTTTGTTTGTTTGTTTGTTTGTTTGTTTTTCAGAGCTGGCATTCAGATAGATACTGAATTAGCAGAATCCTTTATGCTGATGGATGGCAGAGCATAGTCATAACACTTTGAGATGGTTAAATAAGATTTTCCCTGATTTTACTACAGTGCCATTTGGTTATAAAGAAAAGCACCAAATCATAATAATTATAACAAATGTGTCTTCATCGTCATTATGCTCAAAGGCATGTCTTATACAGATGACTAACAGCAGCTAGTGGGCTCTCCATAATGCTTCCATAACAGTTTCTACTGTGGTTGGTTTTGATGTAAGTGACACTACTGGGTGTTGTGAGTATGTGTCCTGCCACACTAAGTTTCTGGAAAGCAGAGGTCAGGTCTAAATAGTTGGCCTCTGGAGGCTGCTGGAATTGGAGAAATATTTCCTAAATCAATGGATTGATGAAATAATATCAGAATTGGGGTAGTAAAAGTAGCATTGCAGTTAGACCCATATCTAAACATCTTTTTAACAAAAGGTACTTTGGGGTGATGGTGGCTCATGCCTTTAATCCCAGTACAGGCAGAGGCAGGCAGTTCTCTCTGAGTTTGAGGCCAGCATGGTCTACAAAGTGAGTTCAGGGGAAGCCAGGGCTGTTACACAGAGAAACCCTGTCTCGGCAAATGAACAAAACAAAACAAAAGGTTCTCATATTTGTGCACTAATTTCCCTCTGTAATGTGTATCTCTCCAGGAAAGGGACTCTGGTTGAGTGCTTGCTTAGCATTCCTGAAGCCCTGGGACGAATCCCCAGCATGGCATAAACTAGGCTTGGTGGCAGATGCCTCTGATCCTAGTACTTGGGAGGTAAAAGCAGTTCAAGGTTATCCTTAGCTACATATCAAGTTCAACACCTGCCTGGATGCATGAAATTCTGTCTCAAAAAGAAACAAATAAATAAATAAAACTTAGAAATAAAATGTGTCCCTTCAACTCTGGGAGGAGTTGATGTAAATGGTTCAAGCCACCATTGCCTCTCATTTGAATTTTGGCAATAACTGACTGCCTCTCTGCTTTTGTCCCAGCTCCAAAGTCTAAAGCCAATATAATTACTGATGGCTGTATTACACCTCAGCCTCCAATCATTAACATCATATGTCATAGGGCAAAGTAGCATACACGGCTGTCTCTAGTCTATACTCAGTGGACTTGGAACCTTACCTCTGTCCTCTCTAACTGCACACCTGTTGTCTCCATCCAGGCTTCCCTGCCACCTGCCAAGCATACAGGTATCCTGATCTCTTCACCCTTCCCTGAAGTCTGTGCATATTCAAGGCTCTCTGCCTTGACACCCAAATGACTCTCATCTCCAGGTTTTCACCCCTATGTTACCATTACAGTGAGTTGTTCCTGATTTATCCATTTAAAACAGGGCTCCTGCTTCTTCCCCACACCAGTGCAGGTCCAATGCCCCATGTACACTTCTCCAATATTTGTTACCAAATGACATATTCTGCATTATTAGTTTATTATCTTACTCTAGAAATTCAGCTCTTGCAGTGTAAGAAGTCTGGACTCCATCCCCCTATTGTCTTCCTAGAATAGTATGTGGTATATAGTAAGCATTAAATAAATGCCTGCTTAAACAAATAGGAATCCTAGCAGTTTCTGATACATATGGTTTCTAATACACACTGAAACAAGCCTCACAGACTCAAAGGAGGCACTAACTACATGGCATGGTTATTTTCCCAGAGATATAGTATAAAGAGGTGGTATGGACAACCATTACTCCTTCGTGTCCCTGTGTTCCATGCACATTCTGGTATCTCCTATGGTTGCAATCCAGCCTTGACACTAATTCCTGATTAATGGAAACCTGAAAAGAAGTGGCCTGAGACACTTGAGACAATGTGTCTTCTCTCTCTTTTCCTTTTTCCAATACAAAACACCGAAGTCCAGGAGGCTCCAGCGAAAGACATCTAGATCCCTAGTCACTAGGCAGAAAAGAACCCTTCCAATGTGTACAGCCTGCCATGGATAAGAAATACCTGATGTTGCATAAAAGCATCCTATTTAGAAGTAAGCCATGCTCTAATGAGGATGAGACTCACCCTCATTATATATGGAGCATGTGCTGAGTCCCTTAGAAACAACAGATCACTGATGCTGAGTCCTGAGTCCTATGGAGACTTCCAAATCAGCATCAGCATCAGGGGGTTGACAGGAAGCCAGGCTCAGCTTGCCATGTCCTACAAATAGCCTTTGCCACAGCCATCTAACCTGTAAACAGCTGGGGAAATTGTCACTGGAGTTCTAAGTTTCTTGATCTACTTGAATTAAAAAGCTCTAGAATATTACAACCCTGGTAATTTTAGCTTAACTAAGGCAGGGGAGGGCCATTCGATCCATTTGGAAGATCACTGGGATGGGGAGGAGAAAGGAAGACACATCAGGGGCAGATCTGTGTGCTGCGGCAAGGAAAGCTGCTCTAGGCAGAGGCTCGCCTGCACACAGTGCCTTCCTCTTGGCTACATGGTCCCACCAACATCTGAAAGAAGCACTGGAGAGAGCAAGTGCCTCTGGCAGGGTGGGGCTGCTCTACTCTCTAGGGCCATCACTTTAGGTGACGTGCACAATGGAGCAGGACATAAGACATAAAGCCATAGAGGCTCTTGGGAGCCCTTCCCAGGACCTCTGCCCTCCAGGCCACCTAGACATCTGACACAGCCAACCCTCCCTGCCCCAGGGCAGGGTTTGGAAATGGTTGCAAAGGGACAATAGCACCATTTGTTTGTTACATAGTTTCCCCATCACATGGGACCGCTAATGTTTATGCTCAAAGCACAGATCCTTTCGATAAAGCGTGACTAGTCCACTCATATTTCCTATATTCATTTGCTCACGTATTCATTTACCCAGTTTTATGGAAAAATTTCTGACTAGTAGTAATTGCACCTTGGATAAATCTAACTGGTTACAACGCTGCCGCTGTGTGAAGTATTTTTAAGAATATCTCTACACCAAGGCTGGTAGGTTAGCTCAGCGGGTGGCGTGGCTGCCCTGCAAGCATGAAGACTGGAGTTTGGATCCTAGGCATCTATATAAAAGCATGCAATTGTGCTGGTTGTTTTTGTTGTTGTTGTTTTGTTGTTGTTGTTTGTTTTTTGTTTTTTTGTTTTCCAACTTGACAGGAACCTAGACATAGCTGGGAAAAGGGCGTCTTGAGAACATGCCTCCATAACACTGACCCTTGTTAAGTCTGTGGGGTACCATCTTGATTAATGATATGGGAGGGCTCATTCAGCCTTTTGTGGGTGGTGTCTCCCATGGGCAGGTGGTCCTTGGGTGTATAAGAAAGCAGTCTGAGCAAGTCATGAGAAGCAAGCCATGAGAAGCAAGCCATGAGAAGCAAGCCATGAGAAGCAAGCCAGTAAAGCAGCGTTCCTCCATGGCCTCTGCATCAGTTTCTGTGTTGAGTTCCCGCCTTGGCTTCCCTAGAAGGACTATGGTCTGGGATATGTAAGCCTGATAAACTCTTTCCTGCCAACATTGCTTTTGCTCATATCACAGAAATAGAAGCCATGACTAAGGCATTATTGAACCATGTGGCCCTAGCTATTGGGAGATGGAGCAAAGATGGGTAGCTTCCTGGAGCTGGCTGATCAGTCAGTCTAGCCAGTCAGTGAATGCAATTTGTGGGAAGCTGTCTCAAGAAAAAAATAGAGATAGTGATAAGGGGAGACACCCGAAGTCCACCTCTGGCTTACACACACACACACACACACACACACACACACACACACACACAGGGTAGCATATGTGTACGTGCATTTACACAATAAGTGGACACACAAAGCACACACAAGATTGAAAAACAAGACAAAACTTCAATGAGAGCCCTGCAGACCAGGAAGAGATATGAAGAAGCCTGTTGCCTGTTTCGGGAAAGATCAACAGTGCTCTAATGAATGCAGCACAGTTGTCTGAGGAGGTGTAGGCTGGACCTTCTCATATCTCAACTTGTGTGTTTGGGCTTGGTTTTGTTTTCACCTTAGATAGGAACATAAGCAAAGTATTTTGCCTTCCATTTAGACTTCTGGAATCCCAAATTTGATAAGGGCTTATGAAACTTAAAAATGTATGTGACCTATGAATACCTGCTGTGTGCAGCACTGTCTGGCTTCATGCTTCGTATGGTCTCTGTTTCTTACATCATGGAGTCTTTGGGTGGCCCCACAGATGCCATCTGACTGGATCATATGAGTGGCAGGCTTTAGAGCCGAAGGAATAAGCCCAGAACTCTGATGCATATTAGAAAAACATTGAATGTGGCATGGTCTTGTTTGTATTTAAAATATATCATTTCTACATAAATAGAAGAAAAATCCAGATTAAACACAATCCCAGAGTGTTTTCAATGATCACTTCTGAGGGAAGAACAATGGTTGGTTTTCTTTTCTTTTTGTTTCAATGTGTACTTGGCATTCCCTGACTGCTGGCAAGCAAAAAGAGAGTGTCCTCATCTGAGACTCAGCAGGCAACTCCAGGAACAAAACAGCACAGGCAACGGTACCAACCTGGCATGGGCGAGAGGACGAAAATGCACACTGGGAAATGAAGAGGGTTGAAAACTATAAGGAAAATAACAGGTTAGGCCAACATGTTTGCCCTGTCCAGCACTCAGGAGGCCAAGGCAGGAGGACTTCCCCAAATTCAAGGCCAGCCTGGCCTCCCTAGTGAGTTCTAAGCTAGCCTTGACTATAGAGTGAGATCCTGCATAAAAATAAATAAACAAACAAAAGAGAAAGAACAATAACATGTGGTATAGTGGCGCATACCTTTAATCCCAACACTCGGGAGTAGGAGTATATAGGAA